TAGGTATGTTATCTGTGACATTGAACTTGTTGGGTAAAGCTCATTTACTTAATTACCTGTTGTCTATTTGCTGCATATTAAGATTTTTATCCAGCGAAAGAAAATGGTTTTGTTCAACAGAGTTTTGAATTCAAAAGTACCATTTCAACTGTCATTAAAATACTGTTTTGTGACTTCAGTTGTTTTTCTCACCGGTTATAGAATCCACTGCGTGAAGTAGGTGAAAAGATAAAATAATCTAATACTTGTCTTTTAACTTTCAGCTTTGTGTTATTCTTGGAAAGTTTCGCACCACTTGTGAATTCCTTGAACCTTGGCATTGCAAGCCCACTTCTGTTGGGCCCTCCTCCTTTACAGCTTGCGCAAATTAAGACACAGTTGGCTCTTCAGCAATTGACCTCAGTTGCTACCAACAGTTCTGCACCTCCTTATGCTTGGTTAAATCAGGCATTTCTGAAAAGCGCAATGTTTAGCCCCAGAGGAACTTTACCTCAGAGGCCGAGAGGACCTAATCCATCTGGCACAAAGCCTCCGGGATCCTTTAGGGGAGGAGGTGCAGCAGGTCTTCAGAGAAAGCCTGCGCCTGGAACGCCTCAAGGAATGTCACAAAGATTCTCGGGACAGGAAACGTTTCAGTGGACGGGTTCACAGAGGATAAACGTTCGGGTAACTCTGCACAGGACTGATCCGAGGCAGGTAAAGGAGAAGACAAACCTGTACCAGGAGCAGAAGAGAGAGCCTCACACAAATCGCTGGTACAGTACCCCGTGCTCAGCTGGGACAACTGGGCAAAAGCCATCTGCCTCGGCACGGGTCTCGGAGCAGAATTCAAATGCCCAGAACCGCTACACACCAGAAAGCGCTTCCAGTATTTTGGCGAGTTTTGGGCTGTCTAATGAAGATTTGGAGGAACTCAGTCGCTATCCAGATGATCAGTTAACGCCTGAAAACATGCCACTGATCTTGAGAGAAATACGGATTCGTAAGATGGGTCATTCTTTATCGGGTGTACATACTCAGAGCCAAGGAGAAGAAACGATTGGTGGTACGAGTGGTGCAGCAGTCAAGAGTAAAGTGATTGATTATGGACATGCAAGCAAATACGGTTACACTGAAGATCCTCTTGAAGTGCGTGCTTATAATCCTGAAGTCCTGACTGAAGAGCCTCTCGAAGCACGTGTCTATAATCCGGAAGCCTCAAGCGGAGAGAACAGGGAACACTTCCAGCGAGAGCAGAATATGTCGATGAGTGTCCCACCATCTAGCGTGACGTGCAATCCAGTGTTTCCAGTGGAAGATTTAATAAAACCGACGGGGTTCCAGAATGATTCCTCAAACACTCGATCGTTTTTTCCAGCTGAGACTCCGGGAAAGGTGTCCAGTTTGTGTGCGACACCCGCTGCACTCCCTGTGGTGAAATCTGTGTCCCAGCCTGCAATACTGCCTGTCATACCGCCGATGATGCCACCTATGATGCCACCCATGGCACAGCCCATGATGCCGCCTGTCATGCCGCCCCTCGTCCAGCAGTCTGTGACCCAGCACGTAATGCCACCGATGACCCATCCACCCTTTTCAGCTGAACTTCTTGCAGCTATAAGCCAGCATGAAAGAATTCAGCGTGAATCTGGGACAAGCCAGTCTAACGCCCAGAGCGGCTCGGGAGCAGGACAGAAGCCCTTCCAGCCCCAGGCTGAGGGGCCAATTAGATCTCCTTTTGGTATTGTGAAAGCATCGTGGCTTCCCGTGTTTCTGCAGTCTGGTGCCCAGAAGATAAAAAGATTGCCCACTCCGTCAATGATGAATGACTACTATGCTACATCTCCAAGAATATTTCCACATATGTGTTCTCTGTGTAACATTGAATGCACTCATATGAAGGTGAGTGTCTTTCAAAGATTATTGCATAAACTTGTACTCAGCACCTTACCTGCTGCACTGTTTTATGAACTAATTTTTTACTGTGCATTAAATGAGTTGTGATGCTGTTCACCAGTTTGAGTGCTTACATGCAAATTTCAAAATGCTAGAAAGAGCGCTAGTAAATTATTGTGACTGCTGCACAGCGTGTTCTGTTCCAAATTGCATTTCAAAATTGCCATGCGCATTGATTTTTATTTTTTAATATTAAAAATTATTTATGTCTTCTGCAATGGGTTTCAAGTGACAAAACAAACCCTTTATCAGTGGAGTTAAAAACTAACGTCATCTGGGTGACTGAAACATGTGCAGAAATTGTATGCTGAATCTCTTGGTAGGGTAGATGAGATGTTCGTGTATTCAGCCCCCCTCCTGCAAAGTCTGCGTTAAAACAAAGCAGCCTATTTATCTGCAAAAATTTAATCTTCCAAATGTGGTCTGTGTGACATTGACTATTCCAGAGACTGAAGACTAGCTCTGAGGGACGCACAAAATGCTTTCATTCATCTGCCTGAGCTTTCAGCTATGAAGCAAATAACAGTTTCAGCTCTTGAAGGAGGAACAGGAAGGAACTGGTGAATACTGGGAGAGAGAAAAGAATTCTGAAAGCTGTGGATTTTTCTTGAAAGACATAGGCTTGATATGTCAAAATACAGGAGAAAGTAATTTAAAAAAATGGAATAATTCATTATTAGTGTCATGTGTTTAAATTTTAAATGGTCTTCAACAATCGTGTGGAAAGCCTGTTGGGGAGTGCTTTTTTGCCATTTGGCAAAATCACACAAGATTGCTAGGCCGTATTTGTGCTGTGTATTAAAAAAGTGTGAATGAATAGTTACGATGGTGACAGCTGCATTAGGGGCTTCAGAATAAAAATAAAATTTCAAGTACTTCTATGCTGGAAGCGCTAAAGGCCAGGGAGAAGCGCAGCTGTTTGGGCAGACTTGAAAACTTAAAGGGAAGTCTGATTTAAAATAAAAATGTGTAAAATTGAACAAGGCAACGAATTTGGGGCTGTGTTAATAAATGGACAAAGCACTCTGGAATAGTGTAATCTGTTTAACTGTGAATCATTCAGTCACTTGCTTACTGGTACTTTCTAAACTTAAGCAAATGTTTTTACTAAAAATACTTGACAAATTAGCTATGAAGTTTTCTGGAGAAATTGAAGGTTATACTTCTTGCCCCAGTGGCGCTTTGGGGTAGCGTTCTGATCCGACTGCAGCTGCACAACCTTTTCTCCCTGTCGTGGCTGCCTCTGGCTCTGGCATATATTCGCTTCGTCCTGAAGAGTATTTTTTTCTTTATGTACACCTGCTGCTGTGGAGGCAGTTCAGACTGGTTTGAGACCTCATGGGGCAAGCCATGTTTAGCCAACAGTGTTGCAAAATAACCAAAAGAGTTAGTTTTTTTTTTTTTTTAACTGCAAAAAATAAAAGTTTGTGTTAAGAAATGTCTTGTGTATTTGTGAATTCTGAAGAATGAAGGGTTCCTCTTGCTTTCAGTTTTACAGTTTGGTTTTATAAATAAAGTTGTCTGCCTCAGTTGCACGGTTAAAGATGACCTAGACGTTCAGGTTTTTTGTCTTTAAAGTGTTGCAGAGGAAGCCTGTGAAACAACGCCCTCAGACTGAAGGAGAAATGCTGGGGCAATGATACAGGAGAAATCGATAGTCGTGTGTGGTGTGACTTGCGCTAGGAAGTTGCTCTTTCACGTAGAGCACAGAGTTGAAAAAGAACTGAACAAGTTCACGGAAGGAAATCCTTCCGAGACTACGCAAAGACCCTCTGTGGCTCAGGAGGTCCTTGACAAGCCGTTGTCCGTGGCTGGAGGTGGCTCTGCCTCATTAGTTACCTCTCGAGCCATCCCCTCTTGCGTGGTGCTAGGTGAACTAGACGGGCCTTTGGTCTCCCCAGCACACCAATAGATGAACTGGATCTTCAGACTTGGTTTTAGGTCAAAATTACTAGACGCGGTGATTTCTGGGGTGTAGTACCAAGTTGTAATAAGTGGTTTAAGGATGCTGCGTTATAAACAGATGTTTGTAATGTGGCAAATTGGAAAGAAAGTAGGTGAGCAAAGATAACCAGAAATAAGAATGGATGAAGATGATGAAAGATACTAAATGAGGAAAACCTGCTCTTTATCCAGTACTGGATAGCTGAAAAGACAAAGTTGCAGTGATGTTAAAATGATGGATTTCAAGTTCCAATTATTCATGGTGATGAGCTGCCTTTTTTCGTAGATTCTTTTAATCCAGTCTTGTACTGAAGTACAGCCTCATCTAGGATTCATTTTCCTGCCCAGATTGAGGCAGA